AAAGTGCGTGTGCGCGCCGCGGGAACTTCAGCTGAAGCGACGGTGGCTGGTAAGGGTCACCGCGCCGAAACCGCGGCCACGGTAAACCCACCGAGATAATTTAGTTTTTTAAAAACTGGACGGTTATTTTTATTGTCAACTTTTTTACCGGGGTTTACCGCTATACCGGTTACCGTGACAACCCTAGATCAGACTGTTGGAGTTGACGTGCTGCCATATTAACAGGATAACACTCACTTTTCCCTAAATTTAATTTATAACCTGAAAACGAGCTGAAGTTCTCCAGAATACTTAAAACAGCAGGAATGGAGCGAGCAGGGTCAGTCATATATAATAAGTCATCCGCATGCAATGATACTTTATGTGTAATTCCATTACGGGTGATTCCCTTGAATACAGAAGAAGATCTTAATGTAATGGACAGCGGCTCGATGGCAATGGCAAAGAGTAAAGGTGACAAAGGGCAACCTTGACGACAACCACGACCCAGCGCAAAATAATCAGAGTAAACATCACACTGGCTTTAGGGGATGAATAAAGAAGCTGAATCCAGGGAGTAAATTTATCACCAAAACCAAATTTCTTCAAAACTGCAAACAAGTATTCCCACTCCACCCTATCGAAAGCCTTTTCAGCATCTAAAGAAATCACAAGTTCAGGAAGTTGAGATAGATGCTTTGAGTAAATCACGTTAAAGAGTGTTCGGGTATTAAAAAATAATTGCCGTCCCTTTATAAAGCCATTCTGCTCTTCGCAGATAATTAGGCGAGACGCAATTACTTTAGCCAATACCTTTGCATCAGCATTAAGCAGAGATAATGGCCTGTAAGAATCACAGGAAGTTGGGTCCTTGTCATTTTTGAGAAGGAGCGCTATAGGTGGCCTGCGTGAAAGTAGGAGGTAATGAACCTGATTCCAAGGACTCGTTAAACACAGACAAAAGTAAAGGTGCCAGTTTACCAATAAATGTTTTATAAAATTCAATAGGAAACCCATCCGGGCCTGGGGCTTTATTAGACTGCATAGCTGTAATAGCTTTTAATACTTCATCAGCAGATAGTGGGGAGTCCAGTTGCCCGGCCTTATGAGTACCGATAACCGGGTTTGAAAGAGACTGAAGAAATTCATTCATTTTAGCTTTATCCGTGGGAAATTCTGACTTGCTTGCTTGAGTAATTCTGGAGAAGGATTCAGTGCATAAATTTGATCAAAGTTACTAATTGCCACCGTAAGTTCTTTAAGCCTGGCATTAATCTTTTTATTAGTACGTACAGAATAAGAAATAATTTGACCTCTCAAATAGCATTTAAGAGTCTCCCACAGCAGAGAATATGAAACAGAATCATCCCGATTAAACAAGAACTCCTCAATAGAGCTTGAAATAAATTCACAACATTCTTTATCAGCCAAAAGGAGAGAATTAAATCTCCAAAGAGGAGGACTACGTTTATATGTAGAGTTGAACATCTAATAGCAGAGGAGAGTGATCAGATATTACAATACCAGAATAGTCGGAGTTAGTAACACATGAATTGAGAGTTCTATCGATGAAAAAATAATCAATCCTGGAATAAGATTGGTGGACCTGGGAGAAAAACGAAAATTTTTTGATTGTAGGGTTGCGAAGTCTCCATGGATCAACAAGGTCATTCTGTATCATAAAATCTGAAAATGTTTTAGACATAGATGATGGAGTCAAATTACGAGGACCAGAACGATCCAAGCTTGGAACAAAAACACAATTCAGATCACCACCAAAAATAAGCAAATGTGTATTCAGAAAGGGGATGTTACTTAGTAATCTATTAGCGAATTCAGCATCATCAAAATTCGGGGCATATACGTTTACCAACAAAACCTTTTTCTGCATTAGGGTGCCAGCAACAATTATGTATACCACCTAGTCCTTTGAACTCTAGAGTATATCATATAATTCAGTATCATTAGATAAAATGAAAATAAAAGGAACCAGCACACCAACAGTATAATAACTGGCACAGCGGTCTAAGAAAACAATGCACAGGTGGCGTTAAACCTAACGAGAGCGTGAGCACTTAGTTACATTACAGCATCAAACTAAGAGGCTATTCAGGCTCACCCAGAGATCAAAGTTTTAACATACAAGTGCTGGCCAGTAAATTAGAATATCATCAAAAGGTTGAAAATATTTCAGTAATTCCATTCAAAACGTGAAACTTGTACATTATATTCATGCAATGCACACAGACCAATGTATTTCCAATGTTCATTACGTTTAATTTTGATATTTATAGGTGACAACCAATGAAAACATCAAATCTGGTATCTCAGAAAATTAGAATATTCTAAAGGCCAATGAAAAAATGTTTGTTTCTCTAATGTTGGCCAACTGAAAAGAATGAACATGAAAAGAATGTGCATGTATAGCACTCAATACTTAGTCGGGGCTCCTTTTGCCTCAATAACTGCAGTAATGCGGCGTGACATGGACTCGATCAGTCTGTGGCACTGCTCAGGTGTTATGAGAGCCCAGGTTGCTCTGATAGTCGTCTTCAGCTCCTCTGCATTGTTGGGTCTAGCGTATTGCATCCTCCGCTTCACAATACCCCATAGATTTTCTATGGGGTTAAGGTCAGGCGAGTTTGCTGGCCAATCAAGGACAGGGATACCATGGTCCTTGAACCAGGTGCTGGTGGTTTTGGCACTGTGTGCAGGTGCCAAGTCCTGTTGAAAGGTGAAGTCTGCATCCCCATAAAGTTGGTCAGCAGCAGGAAGCATGAAGTGCTCTAAAACTTCCTGGTAGACGGCTGCATTGACCCTGGACCTCAGGAAACAGAGTGGGCCAACACCGGCAGATGACATGGCACCCCACACCATCACTGACGGTGGAAACTTTACACTGGACCTCATGCAACGTGGATTCTGTGCTTCTCCGCTCTTCCTCCAGACTCTGGGTCCTTGATTTCCAAAGGAAATGCAGAACTTGCTTTCATCAGAAAACATAACTTTGGACCACTCAGCATCAGTCCAGTCCTTTTTGTCCTTGGCCCAGGCGAGACGCTTCTTGCGCTGTTTCTTGTTCAAGAGTGGCTTGACACACGGAATGCGACACCTGAATCCCATGTCTTTCATGAGTCTCCTCGTGGTGGTTCTTGAAGCGCTGACTCCAGCTGCAGTCCACTCTTTGTGGATCTCCCCCACATTTTTGAATGGGTTTGTCGTCACAATTCTCTGCAGGGTGCGGTTATCCCTAGAGCTTGTACACTTTTTTCTACCACATTTTTTCCGTCCCTTCGCCTGTCTGTTAATGTGCTTGGACACAGAGCTCTGCGAACAGCCAGCTTCTTTAGCAATCACCTTTTGTGTCTTGCCCTCCTTGTGCAAGGTGTCAGTGATTGTCTTTTGGACAGCTGTTAAGTCAGAAGTCTTCCCCATGATTGTGGTGCCTTCAAAACAAGACTGAGGGACCTTTTAAAGGCCTTTGCAGGTGTTTTGAGTAAATCAGCTGATTAGAGTGGCAGCAGGTGTCTTCTATATTCAGCCTTTTCAGAATATTCTAATTTTTTGAGATACCAAATTTGGAGTTTTCATTAGTTGTCACTTATGAATATCAAATTTAAATGTAATGAACATTGGAAATACATTGGTCTGTGTGCATTGCATGAATATAATGTACAAGTTTCACGTTTTGAATGGAATTACTGAAATATTTTCAACCTTTTGATGATATTCTAATTTACTGGCCAGCACTTGTAATCACTTGCCTCGTCTGCTGAGACAAAGTCCCTCTCAAAACCCTTGTATGTGATGCGGAGTCGTCCTGGATGAAGCAGGCCGTACCGGACGCCTTCAATGCCACGGAGTTGCTGCCTGACCGTATTGAATGCAGCATGAGCCCGTGCCACCTTGACGGTGTAGTCGGGGAAGATTGAGATGGTTCGGTCTCCAACTTTAATCTGTCGGCGTTCTCTAGCACGTCGTAAAATGTCAACACAATCAGTGTGGTAATGAAACCTGCATATAATAGCTCGTGTCGGTCGCCAGGTTTAGGTGTAGGCTGGAGGGTCCTGTGTGAACGATCCAAAAGCGGCTCCTTCCCCAGGTTGAATGCTTCTTTTAGCAAGGAGGCTACGGCAGCAGTGGTGGACGTGTCAGGGCCCTCTGGTACTCCTAATATCCTAACATTGTTGCGCCGCGACCTGGACTCCAAGTCTTCACACTTGTTTTCCAGCTTGGCTACATGAGCAGTGAGGCTCTTGATAGTACTTTTCATCTCAGCAACATCATCAGAGCAAACAGTCAGTGCATGCTCCATCTCCTTGACCGTACCTTTTAGCTCGGACATGGTAGAGTCATTGGCAGCTTTATCGATCGCCAGCTGCGTCTTCACAGCCTGCAGGTCGAACTTAATGGTGGACAAAGCATCACCCAGAGTGTCCTGAAGTTCTTTTTTAAAAATGTCAGCAATATCATTCCTCAACGAAGCAAGCAACTCGACCTTGAGAGCCTCGATATCAGGATTAGCTTGGCCCAAGGGAAACTTTGCCGGAGACGACGGCTCACTCGAGGGTGTGGCCGCGGTTTGCAAACCAAGCTTCAGTTGTTGTTGAGTAGCATTGCGGGTTTTTACATTTTTTGCTGCCATTTTATGCCGAGCCGATTAAAACGTCCCAACAAAATAATTCAAAAATCAGAATTGGGACAAGAAATATGGTCAAAAAAGCGCAAATGAATAACAATTTAATCGAAGTCTGCAGGAGCTCCCAGACTCGCGTCCTACTCCATCCTCTCCACCCACCCTTCCTCTTCTTCTGAAAAGAGTCTCGGTGGGAACATGACCCGACATTAAGCTGTACGCTGTTACTAATCTGGAATTACGCATTAACGACAGACCACATTGACTACGTTACTGTTCACATGTAGCAGCGTGCGTTAGCATGAAGCTGGTTTTCACAGGTCTGAACTAAAAATGCCTTCTTCTAACGTAAGGTTCCTTTCTTCCACCTTTTCTCTCCCTGTAGTTTTCTTTAACTCGTGAGAGCAGCGCACCGCACAGTAGCCGACTCCTTCGCACACGGGGATAAACGGCAGTACTGGTTTTTCAAAGTAAAATACATTTTAAAGTTTTGTTATATTTAAATTCATTTTAAACTGTGATAATTCATTCTCTGTAGTTTTGTGTCAGTTTAAGGAAGAAGGAAGAGCTCCTGAAGAACTGAGGCCTCCTTTGAACCAGAAGGACATGGAGCCCCTCAACATGAAGCAGGAAGAGGAGGAGCAGCTTGATGAGATTAAAACTGATGCCACCAACATTTCATTCTCTGCAGTTTCTCATCAGGTTAAGGAAGAAGGAAGAGAAGTTCTGTTGTCACAGTTTGATCAGAACCAACCTAAAGACAGAGATCTTCCAACCAGCAGCACCACTGACCAGATGAAAGCAGAAATTGGTAGAGAGGACTGTGGAGGAGCAGAAACTACCAGGAATCCAGATCTAAATCTTTATGAATATGATTCTAACTCTTCAGAGACTGAAGTCAGCAATGATGAAGATGATGACCAGGATGGCAACAATTCTGACTGTCAACTGAAACTCTTGTCAGATTCTGAGCCAAACACCAAAGATCATAACAAAGACTTGAAGCAGAGCAGGTCTTCTAAATCACATGTGAAGGCTGTCAAATCTTTCAGCTGCCCAGAGTGTGGTGAACAGTTTCTCCATGAGCGGTCTCTCCAGAAACACATGAGAGTGACAAGTCCTTCAGGACTGAAGTCTTCAAGCTGTTGTGTTGATAAGAAACGTGTTAGAGTGAAGCAAAATGTAGACTCTAGCAGGAAAGTTCGGACAAAACTAAAATCATTTAGTTGTGACGACTGTGGAAAAAGTTTCAGCTGCATATCAAACTTAAACGTTCACATGAGAGTCCACACAGGAGAGAAGCCTTTTGCTTGTGAGCTCTGTGAAAAAAGATTTAGTGATAAGTCAAGTTTAAACAGACACATGAGTGTCCACACAGGACAGCAGCCTTTTGCCTGTGAGCTCTGTGGACAAAGATTCACACGCAAGGGAAATTTAGACACACACATGAGAGTTCACACAGGACAGAAGCCTTTTGCTTGTGAGCTCTGTGGACAAAGATTTACCCAAAAGGGAAATTTAGACACTCACATGAAAGTCCACACAGGAGAGAAGCCATTTGCTTGTGAGCTCTGTGAAAAAAGATTTAGTGTAAAATCAAATTTAAACATTCACGTGAGAGTCCACACAGGATGGAAGCCTTTTGCTTGTGAATTCTGTGAAAAAAGATTTGGTGTACAGTCAAGTTTAAACATTCACATGAGAGTCCACACAGGACAGAAGCCTTTTGCTTGTGAGCTGTGTGAAAAAAGATTTAGTGATAAGTCAAGTGTAAACACACACAAGAGAATCCATACAGGACAGAAGCCTTATGCTTGTGAGTTCTGTGAAAAAAGATTTAATGTAAAGTCAAATTTAAACAGTCACATGAGTGTCCACACAGGACAGAAGCCCTTTACCTGTGAGCTCTGCGGACAAAGATTTGCTCAAAAGGCAAATTTAGACAGTCACACGAGAGTCCATACAGGACAGAAGCCTTTTGCTTGTGAGCTATGTGAAAAAAGATTTTGTGTAAAGTCAAGTTTAAACTTTCACATGAGAGTCCACACAGGACAGAAGCCTTTTGCCTGTGAGCTCTGCGGACAAAGATTTACCCAAAAGGGAAAATTAGACATTCACATGAGAGTCCACACAGGACAGAAGCCTTTTGCCTGTGAGCTCTGTGGACAAAGATTTACCCAAAAGGGAAATTTAGACACTCGCATGAGAGTCCACACAGGACAGAAGCCTTTTTCTTGTGATCTCTGCGGACAATGGTTTGGCCAAAAATCAAGTTTAAACACTCACATGAGAGTCCACACAGGACAGAAGCCTTTTGCTTGTGAGCACTGTGGAAAAAGATTTGCTCAAAAGACAAGTTTAAACTTTCACACGAGAGTCCACACAGGACAGAATTAATGAACATAAATTAAATATATATTTTGGGATTTCTAAGGGTGTTGAATGAAATATGCTACTGATCTGTAAGCTCTTTTAACTAAAATGAAAGGCATTAGTTTTATTAAATGTTTTGTTTTTGGAGAAGAAAAGGTTAAATGAAATGTTTGTTTGCCACTAAAGTGTTTTATTAAATCTCTTTGTTCACTATTCAGTTTGTTGTTCGCTCTTTCTGGAGTTTAAACGTAAATGCTGATGTTTTGCAAAGTGAGAAGGCTCGCCATCAAAGTCACCAGATTAATCCACTCGTGTAATTATCTGTCATGCAAATAAACCTGATCAAAAATGAATACCTATATTATCCATATTGTTTGACAATAAATACAAAAAACAATTAGAAACTCTGATTCACAGTTAGCAAAAGTATAAATCTGGTTTTCTCACGTGAGAGTCCACACAGGACGGAAGCCTTTTGCTTGTGAATTCTGTGAAAAAAGATTTGGTGTACAGTCAAGTTTAAACATTCACATGAGAGTCCACACAGGACAGAAGCCTTTTGCTTGTGAGCTGTGTGAAAAAAGATTTAGTGATAAGTCAAGTTTAAACACACACAAGAGAATCCATACAGGACAGAAGCCTTATGCTTGTGAGTTCTGTGAAAAAAGATTTAATGTAAAGTCAAATTTAAACAGTCACATGAGTGTCCACACAGGACAGAAGCCTTTTGCTTGTGAGCATTGTGGACAACGATTTGCTCAAAAGGCAAGTTTAGACAGTCACACGAGAGTCCATACAGGACAGAAGCCTTTTGCTTGTGAGCTATGTGAAAAAAGATTTTGTGTAAAGTCAAGTTTAAACTTTCACATGAGAGTCCACACAGGACAGAAGCCTTTTGCCTGTGAGCTCTGCGGACAAAGATTGACCCAAAAGGGAAAATTAGACATTCACATGAGAGTCCACACAGGACAGAAGCCTTTTGCCTGTGAGCTCTGTGGACAAAGATTTACCCAAAAGGGAAATTTAGACACTCACATGAGAGTCCACACAGGACAGAAGCCTTTTTCTTGTGATCTCTGCGGACAATGGTTTGGCCAAAAATCAAGTTTAAACACTCACATGAGAGTCAGCACAGGACAGAATTAATGAACATAAATTAAATATATATTTTGGGATTTCTAAGGGTGTTGAATGAAATATGCTACTGATCTGGAAGCTCTTTTAACTAAAATGAAAGGCAGCAGTTTTATTAAATGTTTTGTTTTTGGAGAAGAAAAGGTTAAATGAAATGTTTGTTTGCCACTAAAGTGTTTTATTAAATCTCTTTGTTCACTATTCAGTTTGTTGTTCGCTCTTTCTGGAGTTTAAACGTAAATGCTGATGTTTTGCAAAGTGAGAAGGCTCGCCATCAAAGTCACCAGATTAATCCACTCGTGTAATTATCTGTCATGCAAATAAACCTGATCAAAAATGAATACCTATATTATCCATATTGTTTGACAATAAATACAAAAAACAATTAGAATCTCTGATTCACAGTTAGCAAAAGTATAAATCTGGTTTTCTCAATCATCAGACTTTTGTGCAACAGTTATTAACCAGAGTATGTACAATGAACTGTTTTTAACGTTTTTCAGGTAAAATAGTGCAAACTTATTTGAAATAACGGCATAAGATTTGCTCACCGATTCCAGAGTTCATCTAGCTCCACTGCACGGTGTAGCGGCTCTCCCTCGCACATCTACACATAACATTTTACTTTCTGTAATTACAAATCCAAGTTTCACTGTGACATATAGAAAAAGTTCATGTACAAGTTAGAAGGTTTTACTTTGCTGTTTAACGCTAACAGGGTAAGCATCGGATGGAAAGGTAGCAAAAGCAGGTTAGCTTCATGTGGCGCTCAGCAAACTGGACAAAACCCGCCACTTCCATCGGTCTAGCTGCTTCACTTCACTCCCAAACCAAGGAAGATTCATCCACCGGCAACTAATCCAGCTTCTTTGTTCCATTCTTTCTGATTTTGTAATGTCTTGGGTGCAACCTGAGGTGGAAAGAGTACTACAATTTCCTACTTAAAGGTATAGCACACTCCCAGCGCCTGTTTACAAGTCCCTGCCGGCCATAATGTGTAATAAGAGGCTCTAAAAACTGCATGCAGAACGTTGGCTTACCTCTCGAGCAGAAAACCGGCAACAGCGGCATCTCTGGGGAGCAGACTGGACCGCGTTTTCCTCTTCCTGATTTCCATGAGAGTGCGGGGTTGCACAGAGTACGCATGCGCAGGAAGTGAAAACTAACCCAGGATTGGCTTCACCAGAAATTGACATTATTGCGGACCAATGGTTGACGTGATCCACCCGGAAGAAAAACATTGATTGCTATACCTTTAAATACTAGTACCAATACTTTGATAATTTTTTACTCAATTACAAGTAAAGTACTTGCCTAAATTTTTACTCAAGTAAAAGTAAAAAGTATCTTAAATAAAATGTACTCAAAGTAAAAGTTACTTACATTTATGTCAGTGTAAAGATGGCTACATCTAAGTAGTAAAAAATCACAATGCCAGTTCACAACACGTCCGTGTGGATATTTTATCCAATCAGTAAGAACTGGACGTGCACATTGATTGGACGAGGTTCTTCTAGGATTGTGATTAAAATTATTCTTTATTTTGAGAAAGAAAAAATATATTTTTAGACACCATCAGCATGTGAGGTATCTCAATGTTCTCATGACTAAACTCTAACATGAGACTGTGCTCTAACCTGTCACATAACAAGCTAAATGAAAGTCAAACATTTCAGATGGACCGTATGACAGCTGCTAACGTTGGCCCTGCCCTACTTTACCTCTACATTACAGTTCCTTTATCCATGTCCATCCTAGAGCTCCTCTCTGACCTTCATGCTTATTTAGAGCAGCTGATTTTTAAAGTTAGAGTTCATCCTTGGTAGTGGGTTCACTCACTCATTTAACCCTTCACCACTGAAATCAGTTTGTTCATTCCAATCCTCCTAAATAATCCTCCAATCATCCAGCTGGAATCCTTAAGGGTCCCGTAACATCCATCCTATCAGAACAGGCCTTGGGAGCCCAGGTGTTACTAGAACTAATGGTGTCTCCTCACCAGCGTGAGCCTCCAAACTGTGAAGGTTGGTCTCCAAACAAGAACTTTAAATTCATGCATTTATCTCCTCTTGTAACACTTTAACATGTTTAAAAGGCTTGTATCATGATAAGTTACACCTCCCAGACCAAAGATAAGATAAAATATTATCATAAACACTATTGAGACGTCATTTATGAAATACAAGTTATTTTTGTTCACCATTACTTCAACCACATAATAAGATGCATGGATTTGAGGAACCACACTGTCTCATGCAGTCCTAAATGTGTAACACACACACACATGCACACACACACACACACACCACTTTAAATGCCTTTTTAAAGTGTATTTGAATTATCTTCCAGTTCTTTTTCTACCACAAGGTGTGCACCAGCACCAATGAGCAGACATGAAAAAGATAAGTATTAAACTACTCTAGGGGGTCTGGGAGCATGCTCCTGGTTCCCTGTCGCCAGCCCCCCAAACTCCTCTGCCCCTCCTTCCTGGTCCCCCTCCTCCCGCCCTGCTCTGGTTTCCTGTGGGCGTCTGGAATCCGCCCTTGAGGAGGGGGGGTTCTGTCATGACTCCCAGGCCTAGTCCACACATAGCCGGGTTTTTTAAAAATGAATATCCGCCCCTCCAAAAACTTGCATCCACACCACCGCGTTTTAAAAACAAACTCTGTCCACACGTACCCGGATAAATAAGTTGTTAAGGACATGCCAGACCTGTAGGCAGCAATACTTCCCCCGGTCTTGACCTCGTCCTTCGTCTGTGGTCTTCCGCGAGGAGCAGTAATTCCGCTTGCATAAACAAACAAGCAGAAAGCGCTTGGACAATTGATGGATCGGGTAGTGACAGAGCGCAGCTCTGAGGGCTTCCATGATGCCGGCTAGTGTAAACACAGGTCGCACACGTGATGTCAGCATTTTTTTGTCGCGGAAAGTGATGTTGCGGACCTAAAAACTCCGGTTTTGTCTGTCCACACGCAGACACCCAAAACGAAGAAAACGCAGATCTTCACTTTGGCTGGTGTTTTTAAAAAGATCCGTTTTCGTGTGAAAAAATCCGTTTTCGTGTGGATGACAGGCCAAAACGTAGAAAAAGTTGTGGTAAATGTTTTAGTGTCAGTAGTAACTTGATTTATCACATGAGAACACAACACAGGTGAGAAGCCATATCCATGTAAAACTTGTGGTAAATGTTTTACTGCCAGTAGTGACTTGACTACACACATGAGAACTCACACAGGTGAGAAGCCATATCCATGTAACACTTGTGGTAAATGTTTTACTTACAATAGTGACTTGACTAAACACATGAGAACTCACACAGGTTAGAAGCCATATCCATGTAAAACTTGTGGTAAATGTTTTAGTGTCAGTAGTAACTTGATTTATCACATGAGAACACAACACAGGTGAGAAGCCATATCCATGTAAAACTTGTGGTAAATGTTTTAGTGACAGTAGTAACTTGATTTATCACATGAGAACACAACACAAGTGAAAAGTATTTTCCAAGTTTGGTCTGTAAGAGATTCAGCCAGATATTTTCTTTAACTTCTCGTGAAAATTCACACTTGAGTTTGAATACATTAAAATGTGTGGGGTTTTTTTTTCTTAAAGTTGAGAAGAATTGAGATTTTGACTACTTTTAGTCACATATACCTTAGGCATAAACTAGCCCAGTGTGACACATGTACAGAAATATCTTTAGGATGAGCGTTGATGGAAAAAGTATAAAAAAAGGCAAAATTGCTTTTTATGTCTAATTGTGGACTCTGTTTATATTTAAGCCCTAAGTTTAAGGTGTGGTTGACTGACTAAAAAAAATAATAATTTTTTTTGTAATTATAATTGATCACTCTGAGTTTTTCATGCAGGCTGAACATGAAAATAGTCTCCTACACCTTTCTCCTGCATTAGCTTCTGATAGAAAATAGATGAAACTCACGTATTTGAAAATCCTCACAGATCTATGTCACACTGTGAATTAGCATTCATGGACTCGACTATCTTGATTCACGACAGGGAAGACTGTTGTTGTTTTAACGTCCGGTAGTCAGCAGTGGACATCTCGGCTTGTTTAAGCTAACTGTCTGCATTAGCAACTACACCTCACAGCAGAAGGTCCTCCAAGCTCGTGTATTTTGAGAGATGAAATATCCATGTTGCAAGTAGGGCCCGACCGATATGCTTTTTAGGGGGCCGATACCGATACCGATATAAAACTTTAAACAAAGGCCGATAGCCGATATAATGGCTATAAATCTCCCTCACAAAAAAATAAATACAAATGTTCTTAAGATTAAACCCTTCATTCTCTGCCTTTTTGATGCGAACTTATTTCTCTATTACACACCAAAGAACTGTCTCAATAACTGACTGGGGTTTCCAAGTAATGCAAATAAGATTTATTTTGCAATCTCAAAAACAACAGAACACACAAACTACTACTGAAGATGAGCAGATGCTGCAGATGACATCACCAGATGGATCTTTAATGAAGTAGTCCCACACCTTACTACGACCCTCTTTTTCCATCTGTAATAAAATAATCAGCATAAAAGTACAGTTATATATCTGTTTATACTAAGACAAAGTAAAATACATTAAATGTGGCATTTTTATACTTAAAAGTTTAAAAATTATCATGTAAATAAATGATATCAGGCATTGTGGCTCAAAACCAATGGCTCTGTTTTTGTTTGGTTCCCCAGCTGTTAAGGTTTTCTCATTTAGTATTCGTCTTCCGTTTGTTGTCAGGTTTTTTTTTTCTAGTTATTCTTCTTTCCCTTTTAGGATTCTTTCTTCTTTAAAATTATTTTCATTTATAGTTCCTCCTATGTTCTCCTGCTGTCCTCTGTTCCCACTCACAGCTCCTCCTCATAACTAGTCCTCTGTCATCTCTCACTCCTCAGTGCATACGGTTCAGTTTCAGTCATACTCTGCTGGTTTCAGCATCCTAGCTACCTGATTTTTGGCATTAAAATACTTTTGAGTTTTACACTTTTGTGTTTTGATCCTTTCCAAAGCCGACAGTATTAGGAAAATAAAAATAAGATACGTTAGATTAGTATGTATAAGCCTTATGTAAAATATATGGCTGAAAAATACAATAGATTTATTCTATTGCAGAGAGGAATGTTTATTTTCTCGTATTACCGCCCCTACTCCTCTCCCAGCTGGGGGGACTCCCTGCACAGCGTTTCATTGCTTTGTTGCCAACCCCCCCGCGCCCGTCCTCAGCTGCGACAACAGTCGTGTGCCGCCGAAGCGCCGCTAAACGGGGACTCCTTCATTCGTCACCCTTGTTATCCTATTCTATAGGCCACATGGGCCGCCGAAGCGCTGCGCGCTCCGCCCGCACCGTGCAGCGAGTTTCGGCGTCTGCACAATTTTTTCCGCAATCCGCGGGTGAACCGCGTAAGTTTGAAAAGACTGCTGAAGAAGAGCGGAGGAAATTGTCTGAGAATATTCCAGAATGTCTACCAGAAAAAGGCCAATGTTACTTACTTACTGCCCTGCATGACTAGGGGAAGCAGCGTGAACTCTGCATAGAGATTAATGCTGCGGCAGTATTTATTTTATTTTTTCAGGTTAACTTTTCAATACGAGGCCACGAGGCACACAATAAACTTAGGAAGCATGTTGAGGGGAAACATACTTTTGTCATTGCTTATTTTACCGTTCAACTTACCACTGACACAAAAAATTTGCTTAAAACTGAAGACTTACCTCCTACTTCCTCATCACCGTCTCTCTCTGCTTGACTGCTGCTTGCGTGCTGTGACAGTGGCTCCACCCCCCCCCCCCCCCCCCCCCCCCCGAGGAGTGGAGCCCACAACATGAGTTCATAAAGCTGGCGGAATCTGCTGGATAGGTAGCGCTATATCGGCCATATCGGCCGTCTTTTTGGCCGATAGCCGATAGAGTTAATGACCCCTATATCGGCCGATAATATTGGCCGGCCGATATATCGGTCGGGCCCTAGTTGCAAGTCAGTGGTAGAGTTGCATTGCTGTTATCCAATCCGGGGCAAGATGTCCAAATATCAGCAAATAAGACTCCAAAACCCGCCGTTTAAAGCTCAGCTGATATGTGGGAATCTTTTAGGTCTGAGAAATGGTGCAACAGTATATTTGTTCCCCCTGAGAACCATTTACAAGGTATTCATTCCTACTAGAGACCACCGCACTGAAAAAAAGTCACCCACTCATTGAACACATACGCTAATTACAAAGCTCTGTTAAAGACACTGTGAGATTTTTTTCTTTTTTTGAATCAAATTCTATGTAGTCTTTTAACAAATTAATCTTTTTTCATTGATATTTGTAATCGTTTATTCTAATTTAGCTGGAAATTTTACATTTTAATATACATAAACTGTGGTTGGCCAATATTTTAATAGTTTAGCTTTTTTTTTTAGTCTTTATTTTCAAGGTCTGTTTTTGTTTTGTTTAGTTTTAGTTTCATCTACTTTTTTGTTTCGGTTTTATTAGTTTTAATCAGTTTTTTACAGGTTTTTGTAATATTAGTTACATATCAGTGACAAGACCGGTAGTCTGATACTGATAATAGAAATTGCTGTGTGTAACAAAACTGTTTTCAAAACCATTTTCTTTTTGAACAGGTGAGCTACCATACGTTCCAGATAAAATAACAAAAAATACAGCATACAGGGTCAGCCTGTGGAGCAGATTCAGTCATTCAGGTATCTGGGAACAGAAATTGATGACCGCCTGTCCTTTGCAAATCACAGCAATGGTGTCTACAAGAAAGCGCTGCAAAGACTCCACCTGCTAAGGAAGCTAAGAGCACTCAATGTGAACAAGGACATCCTAACAATTGTATACAAATCACTGATTGAATCCATTCTAACTTTCAATTTTACAGCTTGGTGTAACTTTCTTACAGTTAAAAACAAAACACAACTCTCTCGCATTGTTAAATTAGGCAGCAAAACTACAGGCTCACCTCAGATCCCACTTTCTGTTCTTCACGAGCGAGCAGTGAACAGGAAGGCTACCCTGATCAGTGCAGACTCAACCCATCCATTGAACCCACATTTTCAGCTACTTCCATCAGGAAGGAGGTACAGAGTTCCATTGGCCAAGAAATGTGTCTATAAGAAATCATTTGTTCCCACCGCAATGACAATTTTGAATTCTTAAAGTTGTATTTTTTTTACGATAAAATTTTAATACCTTTTAACTGTCTTTTATATATTTGTGTGAATGCAATATGGATTATATTGTAAGGTGAGCCATGACAAAGACGAATTTCTGCCTCAATTTGAGGTGGACAATAAAGTTGATCTATCTATCTATCTATCTATCTATCTATCTATCTATCTATCTATCTATCTATCTATCTATCTATCTATCTATCTATCTATCTATCTATCTATCTATCTATCTATCTATCTATCTATCTATCTATCTATCTATCTATCTATCTATCTATCTATCTATCTATCTAAAATGAACTGAACAGGATACAAACCAGCTGCAGAATGCATTTTCAAAACAGCAAGTGTATGTAGGTCAACAGAACTTGCAATCTCTGAAGTAATTTAGATTAATTTAAATATGAATATTAGGAGACAATAAATTAAATGCTGGTTCTACAGACAAGACAATGGAACTGACTGACAATACATCACTAAAACCACTATAGACCCTTTTACTGTTTGTAAACAATATGACGTCAGCGAGAATGCGCATGCAGCTCGGCAACAGAGAATGGCGTTGTGTCAGGCTTTATCAAGCTACGCTGCGGGGTTATCACCGGAAAATCTTGAATGTTATATTATTAAACTCACTTTAACGAATGGCAACAGACTCCCGGATCCCTGTGGCATTACGGAATGGGTGGAAGATGTAGGTGCGTGGCCAGATATCCAGTGGCCCGATATATATATACGTTTTTAGTGGAGAGGCCCAGTAAGTACACACGTGAGAAGCTACGGGCATACAAATCGTTAGATGCATACAACTATGCTGTCTGTGGCCACGTACAGAAAGTAAAATATCACGACATAGACTCTGAGTTTTGCGTCTTGAAGGCAGAAGTCCTTCCTAGCCAAAGACAAGGACACAAGACTGCTATGTACGAGGCTTGGGTCATAGTAAACAAACCAGAGAACTACGTCTTCACAGCCATGGCAGGGTGAGTATAGCATAGGTTTCTTTTTTTAGCGTGCTCAGAGTACAATCGTGTAAATTTTTAGAGAAATACAGTTAATACTAATATGCAGTGGGAAAATACAGATGAATTAGAATGAAATGTTAATTTCATTTGCAAACCAGCAAACGCAACTTACTTTATGTAATAGAACACACGTTAACCAGCTTTCAGGTGTAATCTTAGTACATAAAGGTAGAAACTGGATCTCTTTGTGCTCCTTCTGGGTGTGTAAGTTAAGGGCATCAGGGGAGCCTGACAACCTTTAAGGAGAACCAAGTTGCTCTCCTGTAATTTGAACCCAGTATCCGACTCTGAATCGGGGCTTGGATCGGGAAGTAAAGCCCGAGTCCCGATCAGTCTGAAACCACGGGATCGGGGCCGGTTTCCGATCATGTGATCGGATCGGGAACTCCCTATCATCCACAAAAAGTCGAGATGAGATTCTCCTGCCACCAAACTCTTTTATTTTGAAGGTGCCGCTAACAGGATGTGATGTGTGGAGTGTTAAGAGGGAAGAAAGGGGACAAAGTAGCTGGAGTGTGTAAAACAGAACTAATGGTGGCATTAAACACTGACCCTGATAGTTCACGGCTATCGTCCCCCCTTGAGTGAAAACAGCTTTACATCCTCTCTAGTCTCTCTTCCCATCTAACACTTTATAAATAAACTGAACTGAACTAAGAACATCAGGAGGGATGAAATAATTTGTTCCTCCAGAGAACTGATTGTTGAATTCCAGTAACAGATGGATCAGTTTTCTCTTTGTCCCTAAAAACCTGCAGCTGTGTGATTCCAGCTAAATCTGCTCTGTTGATCGTTTCCCTCAGATCTTCAACAGTTTCTCTTTCCACTGTTATTAGGCTCATTCTGTCACCTTTTGACCTGAACCTGTGATCCACACCTTCATCTCTTCCTTGTTGTTGCTGGTCCAACTCCAGTCCAGTAGGTGGCGCTAACGCGCCTTCACGCTGCCACATGACCGGAAGCTGTTATCAGAGCTAGCTTGTTGTTAGCTACCAGCGCTAGCTTGCTGTGCTGGTGTGTGAGGGGAACCTCTGAGGCTCTGCAGCAACAATGTCTTCAGCTCAGTCTCTGAGAGAGGTGATCAGAGAGCGGCTAACTGCTGCTGCTGCAGAAATCTTCTCCGAGTTTGAAAAAACCATCGTCCGCTACGAGGAAGAGATCGATCGTCAGCGCAGACTGCTGGAGATCAGCTGGAAACCACAGATCAACTTACACAGAATAGGTATGAAACAGCAGCGGGACTCATGTGGTTTTACTGAGGACACAATCTCAGGACAGTCTGCTTGGATCCGTTTGCTGTTCTGAAGCTTTTTGACACAACTGAGCTGAAATCAGTCTGCGGTAAACTTTGTTCCACTTTAGAGAAACAAATCAATAACATTTCAGGGATTTTAGGAAGTTTTCATTTTCAGGAACTCCACTAAATCAGTTTAAAAGAGACAAACTTTAAAGACTTGGTGAACGTTTCCAGCTGATGTTCTACAATCAGAGACTTGTTAAACGAGTCAGTCTGATAGATACAGTCCAGTCACACACACACACACACACACACACACACACACACACACACACACACACACACACACACACACACACACACACACACACACAGGTTAAGAGTTCATTGTTTTCTAAAACATCTTCAGATGCATCAGATGGTTCAAGTGAAGTGTGCTTTCTTATTGTCACATGACTCAGCTTTTTGTTTGGTCTGTTTGTCTGTCCAGAACTCCCACTGCATTATGTCAGGACAGATGAGGAGGTTCTGACTGACCAGCAGCTCTGGAACCAGGAGAGGACCTCCAGTTTGGAGCAGGAACAAGCAGAACCTTTACAGGAGGGACCAGAACCTCCACAGATGAAAGTGGAGCAGGATGAGCCAGAACCTTTGCAGATTGTAAAACAAGAGGAGCTCTGCATCAGTCAGGATGAAGAGCAGTGTGTAGTGAAGCAGGAGACGGTGACCTCCCTTGTGACTCCTGCTGGTGAGAAAAGAGACCACGATGAAGCAGAACCAGACAGACACCAACTCCTTTTGTCACTGTTTCCTGAGGCTGAGATCAGAGCTGCTGCTGCTCCGGGGTCAACAGGTGAGGGGGGGTGCTATGTTTGTTTTCCTTACTGTGATGTCACAATAAGGGACTTCTTGAAACTGCTCATTTTAGTTAAATCATCTTTATTTTAGGGCTGGATCGGGAGCGATCAAATCTGCAGTTAGAGCCTCGAGGCTCCTAACTGGAGCAAACGGAAGAGCTCACATCACTCCTATTCTAACGTCTCTGCACTGTTTACCCGTTAACTTTAGAGTTAATTTTAGAATCCTGACTATATTTTAAGTTTGGATCTAACGCTGGTGCCGCGGTAAAAAAACAAAAAAACTGCATTCCACTATAATTGGTTATGGCTTGCTTCTTCAATGAATCATAATCATATTTCGATACATTGATTGTAATGTTTTGTAAGTGGTCACAATCAGTGTTGGGATCGTTACTTTAAAAAGTAATTAGTTATAGTTACTGATTACTTTGTCAAAAAAGTAACTCAGTTACTAACTGAGTTACAAGAGTTACAGGATCATAAAAGTAACTAATTACCAACAAAAATAACTACTTAGTTACTTTTTTCATTAAAGAATGCAAGAATTACTACAATAGTAAAATATAAATGACTAATGACTGGAACATAATAAAATATATGTCCAAATGTTTTTATAAACATGAATAATTTTAATAAATAAGCACGTAACAGGAGGAACTACTAACAGGAGCATTACACTTATCTAGACTATTAAAAGGTCACTGTGTGATATTTAACAAGATCCCAATCAGCTAAAATTAAAATTGCAAATAGAAACACCTGTAAAGGTTCCCGAGCCTTTAAATGGCCTCTCAGTCTAGTTAAATTACAGAAATAAATGTAATTTTTCACAGTATTCTAATTTTTCCAGCTTCACATAATTGTGTGTTTTTAGCAGCATTTCTGTTGCTGCTAATTCAATTCAAGTTTATTTATATAGCACCAAATCACGACAAGAGTCGTCTCAAGGCACTTCACATAATAAACATTCCAATTCACAGTTCAATAAGCCAATCAGAAATAAAGTTTCCTATATAAGGAACCCAGCTAATTGCATCAAGTCACTGACTAGTGTCAGTGACTATACAGCAATCCTCATACTAAGCAAGCATGCAGCGCCAGTGGAGAGGAAAACTCCCTTTTAACAGGAAGAAACCTCCAGAGAATCCTGGCTCAGTATAAGCAGCCATCCTCCACGACTCACTGGGGATCGAGAAGACAGAGCAGACACACACACACACACACACACACACACACACACACACACGCACGCACGCACGCACGCACGCACGCACACACACACACAGAGAGAGACAAGTAATGTGTCTACAGTTATATTGTGATGTCTTAGTAAATATTGTATTTGGTGAAAGATCAACTTTATTGTATTTATCCTAGTGGATCTATAATTAAACGGATAAACTAGTATTAGCACATCAAAAGTCAATGAAAACAAAAAGTTATTATCAGGAGAGAGAGAATGTTTAAGTGGTTAGCAGCAGTGTGCTAGACGATGGCCCCCTCCATGAGGCCACCACAGCTCAGCAGAACATCATTGTAGCTTCTTCTGGGGAGAAAAACACTTAGAGAGAAAATAAAGTTAACAGCTGAAATTGCACAAAATAGTACAGTTACAGCACCAGATTTGAGTTTTTAATTCCATTTTTATGATTTAGTTGCTCACTTTTGGCACCTCGCACCATCTGGTATTTTATTTCGTTTTATTTGTGCCATTTCAAATGTTTTTATTATTCGTCACATTATTTTATTTTTATAGTGCTGTTAACTGTTCTCCTATTTTATTGTTTTTAGTAGAAATTTTTATCTCCGACTATTTATGCTTTGGTCTTATGTATTTTGCCTGTTCTTATTGTGTTTCTTGGTCAAGCATTTGGTTTTTTATGTACAGCACTTTGGTTAGCTGCCATGAAAATTTTGAAATGGTGCTTTATAAATAAATATGGTATGGTATGGTATTAAAGGGATAAATTAGCAGTAGCACATCCAACGTCAAGGAAACCAAAAAGTTATTATCAGGAGAGGAAGAATGTATACGTGGTTAGCAGCAGTGTGCTAGATGATGGCCCCCTCCATGAGGCCACCACAGCTCAGCAGAACATCATTGTAGCTTCTTCTGGGGAGAAAAACACTTACAGAGAAAATAAAGTTAACAGCTGAAATAGCAGGAAATAATACAGTTAAAGAGCAGATTGTAGAAGAAAGTAGTAGAGTGTGGAAAGTGGTCAGTGTATCCTCCAGCAGTCTAAGCCTATAGCAGCATAACTACAGAGATAACTCTGGATAATCTATTCTATTTAGATGTAGGCATGTTGGAGGCAGAGCATGGGAGAGCCGTCTTTACCGACTGTACACTCCACCTCCCTCTACTCCCCCACTTGTCCTCATCTAGGCTAATATCAGATTTTAACTATAGGCCCTATCAAATAAAAATGTTTTAAGCCTATTCTTAAAAGTAGACAAAGTGTCTGCCTCACGGACTAAGGCTGGGAGCTGGTTCCACAGGAGAGGAGCCTGACAACTAAAAGATCTGCCTCCCATCCTAAGTTTAGATATTCTTGGAACCACCAGTAGACCTGCAGTCTGAGAGCGAGGTGCTCGGTTAGGAACATATGGAACAATCAGATTACTGATGTATGATGGAGCTTGATTATTAAGAGCTTTATATGTGAGAAGAAGGATCTTAAAATCTATTCTGAATTTAACAGGTAGCCAATGTAGGGAAGCTAAGACAGGAGAGATATGATCTCTCTTTTTAATTCTCATCAGAACTCTAGCTGCAGCATTTTGGACAAGCTGAAGACTTATAACTACATTCTGTGGACTTCCTGAGAGTAATGAATTACAGTAATCCAGTCTTGATGTAATAAATGCATGAACTAGTTTTTCAGCATCACTCCTGGAAAGGATGCTTCTAATCTTAGCAATATTCCGAAGGTGGAAAAAGGAAATCCTACAAACTTGTGAAACCTGGGAATTGAAAGACATGTCCTGGTCAAAGATAACACCAAGGTTCCTTGCTTTGTTTTCGGAGATTAATGTAATGCCATTCAGGTCAGGCGATTGGCTAAGCAATTTCCTTTTCTGGATTTCTGGTCCAAAGATGAGAATTTCCGTCTTGTCTTCAGGGGTGGACATTAACTTCAAAACCAACCGGCCAGCCGGGCCGGTAACTCTGAATATTTACCGGCCCTGCCAAGAATCTACCGGCCCCGCTGGTCAGCTGCCAAAACGAGTCAAAATAACAACTGAACCGTTTTAAATGTAATAAACCTTTATTTTGTACACATTCACAAACATAATAACATATTCAAGTTTGAATTTGTTTGTTCCCTCAACAAAACACGATTTTATCGTCGCATACTTCCGGCATACAATGCAGTACATCACCAACTCCGCTTTGCTGTATTCGAGCCATTGGCTGTGTTCGAGATGAGCCAGTTCTGCGCAGATTAGATCACCGGTGATCGGCGAGCAGTGCATGCCGGTTAGATTTGTGTCCGAATTGACGCCGACTTGCTCTGAGGTCATGCATACGTAGGCAACGATAACCTCGTGAGATCAAGGCAGCCGCAGATTTTGGAGCAAGGCACTGCAGTTGCTCACCCTCGGCTGCAAAACCTAGGGGATGACGGGAAACACCTGGCTCTCACCTGATCTAAGATCTGATTGGTTCATATTTTGATCCAAACATCCGGTGGTAGAACATGAAATGTTAGTTGGTCACATGTATTCTGTAAATCATACTACGTTGATGATGACAACCATATAGGCCACAAAGAGAAATGTGTTTTGTTTTCTTTTGTCACGTTTCCTATGAGCACACTGAAGCTACAGCTGACAACCTTTACTTATTAGTACAGTCATGTCTCCATGTACAATATATGATATCCACTAGCACGTGAGGATGTGTTTCAGCTGCTAACAGGCACCAGAATTAAAATTGAAAATTGAACAAGTGTGAATGCTAACGCGATATCTTCATCCATCGTCACCCCTGAGCTACACATGCAGGAAAATCCAAGAGATTCAACTGGCAGAAACAACTGGTTCACACCATAGTCTCTCTCTCTCTCTCACACACACACACACACACACACACACACACACACACACACACACACACACACACACACACACACACACACACACACACACACACACACACGTAGAGGAAAAGAGCTGAGGAAATTGAGGACACCAGGTAGTTAAAAGAAAAACCACAGCGGAGCCGAGGCGCGCCTCGAATGGGGCGCGTCTGATCTGAACTGAGGAGCGGCGAGCAGCGGCCGGACTTCGTGAGCGATTCGCTTCGGGCGCTTCCGCGGCCGGCGTGTCCCCGGCGTTTCGCCGGCTTTCAGCCACTCCCCCTGCTGCTTCCGTCTGCTCTCGTCTGTTTTCCAGGCGAGCCGCTGCTCAACTCGAACACGGCCACTCTCTGCGCCTCCCGTCTTCTTTAAACTGCCAAGAATCATTCCACCTACGCACACGCTTCTCTGCTTCATACCGTTTCGAACTGTCTCGCTTCTCCTCACCAGTTTTAAAGCGTTTTGCCGGAGATTTCATCAAGAAATCCCATCCCTATGGTGGCGCCATCTTCCTGCGTGCTTGTGTGTTTCTAGCATGGTTCCACTTCGTCTTTAATAGTGAACTTATAGTTCACGTGACTATAACTAATCGTGCAGTACGTGCACGAATCGTACAAGTGCAGTAGGTGGCTAGAGGCGCGCAGGTTCACGCGTGCGAAACGAAAACGGCAGCTTCCTACAGGGCGGGGCCATGATGTAGGCGAAAGCCGGTGTGTAAATGACAAATGAAGCTTGGGCGCCACCCGGGCGGTAAGTCGTCAAGTATTTACCGCCCGACGAGAAAATTTAGCGCTATTGGCGCTCGGGTGCTTTAACGGTCCACCCCTGGTCTTGATTTAAAAGCAAGAAGTTAAGAGTCATCCAATTTTTTATGTCCTCAAGACAAGCCTTTAATCTACCCAACCGAT